TGAGGCGCAATTACTACTTTTCAAAACACTTCCCATTGCTTGATATCATAGTGGTAATTGCTTAATGATATTATAATTTCATTACATAGGGATTATGATGGCAAATGATGTAAGTTGGAGGCTTTGAAAATTAAGTTATAATGAAAAAAACCTTTTCTGTAAGTTTAAAGCATTTATTTCAGTGTAAAATTATGTATCATGTCACCCAGTTTTTGTACAACTGTTATTGATGGTAGAGTTTTAAAATGCATCCATGAAAGGCTTTATTACTAAAACCCACAAAACCTGCCTTAACCCCACGGATGTAATGCACGAGGCCCAGTTCCACAGTGATCTGTATGGGAACCAATGCGTTTCTGTGGCAGTCACTGCTTCAGTCCATACGCGCCGTGTAACAGAGCCTCTACTCCCTCCCTTGGCAGGCAGGCAGGTGGTAGAGATCCTCAGTCATTACAACAGTTACTGTCTGTCATTTTGAAAGATTCCTGACTGGTTGTAAAAACTATTGAGTTTTCCAGCTGAATAGCATCAGCTTCAAACTATCTTTTTGGAAAGTAGAGGCACAGAATGCCTAGCATCTCTTATGTATCAGAGGTCAGAATTTCCCCCAGGGTGTTGATGGAATGAAAACAAGATGTCCAGTGGTAGATCCCTAAGATAAATTACCTCATAATCAATCAGTGATACATGGTTTTAACATTACACATGATGGAAAAATTAGTTTTCCTTTTTGAAAAACATGATTTTGGCATAAAACTTTTAATTTAAATATTAATTTATCACCCTATCCTATACAAAACTAGTTGGGGTTTCATTCAAACCAACTATTTTGGGGGGGTAGTAAAAATCAAACAAAAGTTGGGGGGTAAGGAATAATTTATAATGAACATACTGCACTCATGACTAACTCAGATATTTTATGTTTTTTTGTGACAATGATTATGACAACTAGTTTTTGGATACTTACTATTGTGTGTGTGTGCTATTATTTTATTTAGCTCTCAGACGCGCTCTCACGGGCACTGTTACTGTCCCCACTGTGCATGTGAGGGAACAGAGGCTCCGAGTGGCGAGGCTCCCCTGCATCCCACGGCTGGGAAGAGGTCGAAGTAGGGTCAGCCCTGGATCTGTGTGCTTCCATTGTCTGAACGTCATGCTGCTTATCTCTGTGACACCTTTTCTCATTCTTTAAGCTTTATCAGTGCTGCCATTTTGAGTTACTGAAAACATCATAGCCTGTAGTTCATGATTTATTTTATTATTATCCTTAATAGTAAGAGTAATGATCATTTATTGAACAACTACTGGGTGCACTATGCGTATTATCCAATGTCTAATTAATTTAGTCTTCCACCAAGAAGACTTGAAATAGGCATTGTTATTCCCATTTTATAAATGAGCAAATGAAGGTCCAGTGGGGTGAAATAACCTGTAACCTGCCTAAAATTATCCAGGTAGAAAACAGCAGGGCTGCCTCCCCGCCTCCCAGGTTTGTTAGATTGTACAGCCCAGAGGCGCTCTGCACCCCCTGCAGTTGCTGCTCCCAGTTTAACTCCTGGTAACCATTAGCAGCTGCTGTTGCTTTGTGTGTGTCTGTCACATCTGCAACCAGACTGCTCAGTCACATAGCAGGCACACAGTAGTTAGCAGTAAACTGACTTTGTTCTGTTCTCTGAAGTAGCCCAAATATGAAAGAGCTGATGGATTGAGTATCTGAAAGTAAAAGACATGTGCACTCTCCTTTGATGTACAGAAGTGACCTAAAGGGGGTCATCTTCCATATAAAACAGCCACTTAAACAGCATTCCCAACCTCTCCCACTTAGATGAAGCAGGTGGGGGCAGGGCCCTGGGGACCCCTCTTCCGGTAACAACAGAAAATGAAGGAGAGGCAGTCTGCCTTCTCTGAGCTCCTGTTCTTAATAAGAAACTGTGCTGGGTGCTCAGGTCAGCTACCACTAGTATTGTGCCCATTAGCTAAGTCCTGTCATACTTCAAGGACATAAGCCACTGCAGCCAAAAGTCACAGAAACTCATCAAAGGCACCAGAGGGATCACTGGAGCTGGTCCCCTGTCCTATGCTGGGTTCTACAAAATCTCTCACAGATGGTGGCCCCAGCCCCCACTTCACCCTCCCGAGAGCCCACATTCCATTTTCTGGTCAGCTCGAATGTTTAGAAAATTCTTCCTCTTGCTGAGCCAAATTCTGTCTTCTTGTAACTTTCATTCAGCGATCTATTGCTTTCTCCTGGAACCCCACAGAATCTTAATTTCTCCCTCATTTGCCACGCTTTACATACTTTAAGCCAGCGGGCTGCTGTCACCTCCAACATGCTGTCTCTTTTCTGTATTTAGTAAGGCCAGTTCCTTCAGGTTTATTGAGCTATTTGCCTCTGCTCTCCCCTGTGGACTTTCCCATCTTTGTCAGTCATTTTTGAAACATGACAAATCAAATTTATTTTTTTCCAAACCTGTTTTTTTTAAACGTAGGACACCTTTACAATTTTTTATTGTTAATTCCATGTTTAAATTCCTGTAATATAAGAGCTCCCAATTGAATGTTACACCTCCTTCTTAATAAAAACTGCAAGCCAGTATGGTATAGAGTGCTGAATTGAGAACCCAAGTTCATCCCTTTAACTCACCAAGTGATATCACATGAGTTATTTAATTTTGCAGACCCTGGATCCTCACCTATAAGTTGGACATGATAATTCCTATTTCATAGGATCAGGAGAGTCAAGTAAGATACTGCATGAAAAAGTGCTTTCTAAACCAGTGAAGGCTCTACCCAGATGTTAGTGAGCGAGGCAGACGTAATCATTCCTCTGTTACACTCCATTTGTTAAGGACTGCTGGAGCCAGATGCACAAGAGAGTCTGCTGACTTCGTGTTTCACCTGATCCCTGCACGCTTTTTCCTCGAACAGAGCCGTTTCTCATACCATTGTGTCCCCAACACCTAGTTCGGTGCCAGGTGCAGGGAACAGTCACATTAAATGTTTCGGATGGATGGCAGAAGGATGGGCCGAGGAATGGCTGTGCTACAGTTTCAGAACCCACTTCGCCATCTTGCTCCACTTCCTTGGACTTCACTGCATTTTGTCACTGTCCTGATGATTGTTCATGCACCCACTTGATCTGATTTGCAGGGGAGGAAAAATGAAGTCCCACCATTACCACCACCTTCCCTTACTCTGGGCAGTGACACTTAAGATCACAAGCTCTGTTTCACAGTCATTTATTCACCCTTTCAGAAAAACTCAGGATTATGTGCCAGCCCTCCCCTATGCCCCTTATCTTCTAAAACTGACCCTAGTGAGCTCATGACCCAAAAGTTTGGTATCTTCGGTGCTTAGTAGCCTATGCTAAGGAAGACAGAGGAGTATTGTCTTAATCGGCCCTTCCTTCCTGAGCCTGATCTGATTTTCTCCAGTGTGGAAGGTCTTGCCCTCCCAGCCTCTGACTTCCTAGTACAGGGATTTTCAGAAGTACTTGGAAGGCACTCGCCAATCATGGCATCAGGTACCCAAGCACATAGCACAGCATTGGGCACACATAAGGTGCACAGAAAACAGCTTTGTAAAACAGGGTTTTTTTCATTCCATGCCATTTGTTGGAAACCAGCCAGACCTTGCTAATAACTCAGGCAGCAGGAGCTCTCCTCACCCAGACCTTCTAAATGGCTATCATAGCAGCAATAACAAAGAAATCCACAAGCCATGTTCATGTTCCCAGCAAAGTCGACAGACCTTCCTACCTCCAATAAAATTACAGATCACCTGACATTTTGTTTTCCATTTGTGTTCTCTGCTTTATGTATCTTATTTATATTTTTAAACATTATATTTATTTCTTTAATTTTTATTGAATTTATTGGTATGACATTGATTTATAAAATTATATAGGTTTCAGGTATACAATTTTATGATACATCATCTGTATATTATATTGTGTATTCTAAACGTTTATTTTAATTCATGTTTATTTGGTAGTCTTCTAAGGATGTATGACTGGGGATTGAGTTCTTTGTTAGGTCATTGAATTCACATTGTTTTGCATTTGTACAACTCTGGCCCATGAAGAAGTCTAGACTTGTGATCTTTAAGACTTGAAACCTGCTCAAGTTTTCCTAACTCTAATTAACATAACCCTTAGTCCTTTGGCACCTTCCCAGTTCTCCACACTCCCGTCTTTTTTTTTTTCTGTTTTATTGTTGTTCAGTTACAGTTGTCCCCATTTTCCTTCCATTACTCTCCCCCACCCTACCCATCCCCACATCCCACATTCAATCCTCCCCCATGGTTGTCTTTGTCCATGGTTCCTTCATACATGCTTCATGATGATCCTTCCCCCTTCTTTCACCCATTATGCCCCTCCCCTCTGGTCACTGTCAGTTTGTTCTTTATTTCCATGTCTCTGATTATATTTTGCTTGCTTGCTTATTTTGCTGATTAGGTTCCACTCATAGGTGAGATCATATGGTATTTGTCTTTCATTGCCTGGCTTATTTCACTTAGCATAATGCTCTCCAGCTCCAGCCATGCTACTGCAAAGGGTAGGAGCTTTCTTTCTTTCTGCTGTGTAGTATTCCATTGTGTAAATGTACCATAGTTTTTGGAACCACTCATTTACTGATGGGCACGTAAGTTGCTTCCAGAACTTGGCTATTGTAAGTTGTGCTATTATGAACATTGGAGTGCATAGGATCTTTTGAATTGGTGTTTCAGGATTCTTGGGGTATAATCCCAACAGTGGAATTGCCTGGCACACTCAGTTTTTCTTATCCTTTGTACCAAAGCTGGCCCTGTGACCACCGTCTCATCTGACTTAAACTGCATAGTCTCATCATGTCTGCAGTGGTCATTCATTCCAGCTTCAACACTTTGCCCACATGCACTATCCAGGGACAGACGTTGATTCCTGTTTCTCTGCCCTTCGGATGTTTAGAAATTTCAGGCCAGACCAGTAGCTAACATGTCTGCGGTTCCCCTTCCCACAGGTGAAGAGGAACTGAGTGTGGAAGAAGACGAGGAAGTGCTGACTCTTCTGTATGACCCATGTCTGAACTGTTACTTTGATCCCCAGACTGGGAAATATTATGAATTGGTGTGATCCCTCCTTCCAGGGCAAAGAATGCCCACCCCCCAGGTGGAACAGGTCAGCAATTCTGACTGTTGACGCTATAATGTGTGTGCCGGGCAGCAAGCTCGCAGAATCAAAAGCAACTGAGAAAGGTGGATTTCTTTTGTAAATAATGTTCAATGTCAAGAATACCTACATTCTTTTTGTAGACATGTGTGACTTTTTGGAACTGAAAAAGAAATTAATACACAGACAAGATTTTAGGACCCTGAGTTTGTTCTTATTTTTGGTTCTCATCCTACATATGATTTTGTTTATTTCATATAATTTTATGTAAACAAATTAAGAGTTATTAATTCAAAATTTTTGCAGTGTTACTCTGTAAATGATGGCTTGGTATACAGAAAATATATTCTTGTTAAAGATAATCTGGATACCTTTTATTTTATTACCTATTTGTATTAAAAATAAAGTATGATGGTCAAAAGAATACCTTTTAAACTGCTTCTTTTTATTTACCCCACTTTCTTTACCAAAACATCCCACAGTGATATTTACCTTTTCTTACACTCTTAGAAAAGGAAACATGGTGAGCTGGTCAGACTTTGTGATCACATTTTATTGGCACTGGCCCTGCTCTTTCCATTTCATTATAGTTCATCGGGAGGTTGCCCAAGATCACAACATTGTTTATCACTTAAGTTCCTTAGCACTGTGCCTTTCTTTCTTTCTTTTTTTTTTTTTTACCAATTATCTCTGAACTTTAATAGTGTGATCCAAACCTAGCTCCATGGATCCAGAGTTAACAAGAAGGCAGCCATTCAAACACCCTGACCCCTCACCACTTCTCTAACTTGGGCCTCGAGAACTCAGGGAGGCTTCTCTCGGTCTCCAAGGTTTTGTCACTGAAACTCTCCTTGCTGCATTTGAGTAGATGGCCTTGAATTGTATGCCAAGTATATTGATATTGAGCTCAAGGAAGTACTTATTATATTAGTTGGCATATTTTGTTATTTAATAAAGACTTTTTAATAAAGAAGAGTACCACTGGAAATGAAAAATTACTGGTGCACAGCTGGGTTTAATGGCAATACTATAATTTTATTTAATGCTATTTGATAGAGGAAGTAAGAGCTCCTTTTTACAGGGAAGATTTGGGCTTCTATTCAAAGGATCATACATTATGTAGAGCCGTATTTATGTGCGATAGGCTTTTAATCTTATTGTTCAAAAAGTATATTTTATTATGAATTTCTCCTCAAGATCTTTATACTTACAAAATGCAAATAACTCACTGAAGCTTCAGAAAGCATGCAGAATGATAAAACAGTGAGTTATCTTGATTATGACCTTGAAGGTTGGAGTAGGGCTTAGGAGGCCTTGTTCCTGCTTTAGTCAGTCTTGGGAACATCCACATAAATAGGGGAGTCAATCAGAAATCTGTTCTAGATAAGGTGTGTAGTTACAAGTACCAAAAAAATAAGCTGTAAAAAGCTTAAGGATATATGAATGCCTAGTGAAACCCAAAACCAAATGCTACACAGCCTCCAAAGGGATTTTAGCTAAGACAAGAAAACTATAGAAAACTGAATTGCAAGCAACATGCACCCTTGATCCCAGAAGTCAAAGACTTGTTAAGTGATCAGACTCAGAAGGCACAGGAATCAGGGAAGCTCCAGGGATCCTGTAATAGGAACCAAAATTTTCTCCTGATATAGTCACCAAAATGACAGCACCATCTTTTTCTGCCTGAGTCCCTGCTGAGGGAGCAAGAAGCTAGTAAGCTTGACTTGTTGGTTATTCCCATCCCATATGGAATGGGAGTGAGTAGTCCCCAATGGAGAAGAGGATGCTGTTAACAAAGTGTAGAGGGATGCCAAGCAGACAGAAATGACAGATGTCTACCCTGGGAATCTAGATGCATTACCTCTGACTCGTGTTGCTGATCTCTCTTCTCCCTTCTCCCTTCCCCCTTCTCCCTTCTCTTCTCTTCTCTTCTCTTCTCTTCTCTTCTCTTCTCTTTTCTCTTCTCTTCTCTTTTCTCTTCTCTTTTCTCTCTCTCCCTCTTTGCCCCTCTCCCTCTCCCCATTTGCCAGCTATTTCACAGCCCACACATCCAATCATACAGAAATAGTAGCTCTCGGTTTCAGTTTAAAAATCCAGACTTGGGATTCCAAGTGGCCCAGTTTGGTTCATGAGAAACTTCTGTAGTCAAGAAGTTTCTTGTGAACCAAGCAGACACTCAAAAAGATATCTACCACTACATTTTATTATCTACCATTTACATTTTATCTTGTTAAAAAGAGTTGCTTAATTTCTGTTCAGATTTTTACAGAAGAGTTGACAAAGAAACAGGTGTGCCTCCCACTGCCAATTTTAAACCAAAATGATACAGCAAGTTTACTTGCAAATTTATTGACTGGGCTATTCTGCTTCACTAGTTATTAAATTTTGCTGCATATTAGAATCTCCTGGAAAGTTTATAAAAATTCTGATTTCTAGGTTCCACCCCCCAGAGAATCTGATTTGATTTGTCTCAGGTGCAACCTGAGCATCAGAAAATGTTAAAACTTCCACTGGCAAATCTAATGTACAGTCGTGGTTGAGAACCACTGCTATGGATTAGATCCAACATGATGAGAGCACAGATGCTTTACCTAATGGCACATGTCTCAGTGGGGAGGAGTCCATATTGTTATTAGTTTCCATTTTCAAGACTTTGACTTCTACTTTTCCAATCAAATGTGTACTGAACACTGTATCTGAAATTGAGTATTACACATGGATTCTGAAAAAGTACTTTGATTCAGTATGGATATACATCTTAAGTTAATTTGGTGTCCATTTGTGGACTGATTCAGTTTCTTGTTTCATATAATTTGGAATACAACTCGCAAGTGACTTTAAGTCTTCAATCTCTAACTTACTTAATCACAGAGGTCAGGTAATGGAAATTGTGCGGGAAAAACTGTCAGCTGATGGGTGACATCAGATCGATGATTTAGTTCCCCTGACAATTAACACATTGTCTCTCCAATTAACTTAGTTTTATTTCCTATTAAAGGAAAACACTGTCGTATGCAAAGTATAGAAACTTTTGCAAAATAATTTTCTCCTATTGTATTTCTCCATAGCTCAGATTAGCTTCATTTAAATCAGTTATTTCAACCATATCTTGATTTTTTTGAAGTGCAAACTGTGATAACCAAGAATAGTATAGTCACAGACTGTACAACCTGAAAGACAATTAATTAAATGAACTAATTTTAAAGTTGCCCTTTTGCTTTAATTAAAGATCTAGCTGCTGAAGTTTCTGGGCTTTTTTTTAAGTGTTTGATAATAGCAAGTACAGTACTAAAACCGGGTTTATTCTGGGTTGCACTTTGTAACTCTGAATTTTCACTCAAAATGACCAGAATAATGAAGATTAAGAATCACCTATCTACATGTGGCAGTATTATAGGATTTCTATTGAAAACATCATTTATTTTGCATTCCAAGAAAGTTGGTTATAAAGAGAATTCTTGTCAAGCAAATCCTATTTTCTCTTTTTCTTCCATTATGATAGTTGAGGTAGACTCATCTAATTGAGCCTAGAAAAGACAATAAAGATCATTTCTTTAAACTCTGATTTTACAGTTGAGAAAAGCGAGATTCAGATTGGGAATTGGGCAGTTAGTTGTCTGAAGGCACCCAGTTGCAGAGGGGCAAATGGAGTCTGTGATTCCTCAAGTCAATTCAAGATGACACCACAGACACCGTGCAATGGGCACCGGAGGACCCTGCCAGAGTTTGGGTTCCCTGTCTCTCAGTGTTTCCTTCTGCTTTGTGCAGATTCTTTCTTCCCTCCATTGTCAGCCTTTCATGTCACACAGGTCAGCACTTCCCAAAATGTGTCTCCAAAAACAAAAATTTCATTCAAGGTCAATCAATTTAACAGGAGTGTGCAACAAGCCCACAATCAAACAATGTGGGAAAATACTGGAGAAGTCTTCACTGAAGAAGTTCTCAGTGGCTGTGACAGACCAACACGCGGAGGGAGAAGTGAAGGATGCAGCATTTCTCCAATTTCTTTGTCCTCAGAACCCATTCTCAGGAAAGCTTCTTGCAGGCTTATCTACCCACAGAGCCTTCTCTGAGAAACGCAAAGTCCCTGGAAGCACTGACTCCACCAGAACTCCCAGAAACGTGTCTTCCAGGATGGTTGAGTGTGTATGTCTGTGTGTCTGTGAGTGTGCGCACACTCTTTCAGGGTCGTAGTAGGCTTTTTGCTTTTTGTTTTTGTTTTGCCCATATATTTCACAGACCCCTTCAGATTCACTTTTATCTAAAACAAGTTATGCTGAAGCTGAACACTTAAGTCAGAGGTTTCAGTCACCTAAGATGAAGAATTTTCTTTCTCCTGTTTTAAATTATACAGACTTATAACTGTAGGTAATACAGTTAACTCATAACAAAAAATAAATCTAAGTTCAAGTTCATATGTCATGAATATTGAAGCTTTACATCTTAATGAATATTTTGCCTTGGGTTTAGGTGGTTTTAATACAATTTAAAATCAAATTAAGTCAAAATAATTTGACTTATAAGAATTAAATAACCAATTAACATGGGCCACAGATAACACTAATTTTTACTGCTGACATATTTTTCTGTAGTTAATCACCTGTAATCCTGTGAAACATTACAGATGTGAAATGTGGGAAGTGGTATTGATTGGTTTTCATCAACTCGACTTATCATTGTCAGTGTTTATGCTGAACGTGGCAAGATTCAGGCACATAAGCTTGCTCCTAATAATGATAAGTATTACCAGTATTTTAACCTGTGGATCAGGGGAAATTATAACAGCTTCCCGCACCCTCATCCTAGGGAGGTGTGCCCCAAGACCCCCAGTGGATGCCCGAAACCACAGAGAGGACTGAACCCTAGATAAACTGTGTTCTTTCCTGTATGTAGACCAACCATAAAGCTTCATTTATAAATTAGTCACAGTAAGAGATTAAATAACTAACAGTACAATAGAACAATTGTAATAATACCCTGTGATAAAAGTTGTGTAATTGTGGCATTCTGAAGTAAAACAAGGGTTACTTGAACACAAGCACTGCAACATGGTGCCAGTTGCTCTGGTAACCAAGAGGACTGCTAGGTGACTAAGGCGCAGAGAGCATCTGCAGCACGGAGGCGCTGGACAAGGGAGGGTTTGCATCCCAGGCAGGACAGGCGGGGTAGAGCCAGGTTTCGTTATGCTATGAACAGTGTGCAGTTTAAAACTTATAAA